CACCCCACACCCACACCCACCGCCAAACCCACACCCACACACCCACACCCACACACACCGCCAAACCCACACACACCCACATCCACACACCCACACCTACACCCACACCCCACATCCCACACCCACACAGCCACAGCCACACACCCACACCCACACCCTCATGTCTGATATTGATTGTATTATTGAGAAAATGATCGACTCTTCCTAACATTCGTCTGAACCTTGAACATGTACGAGTATTGGCAGCCGATCGTTGATAGTTTCCAAGTTTCATACTTATCCATGATTTATCTGACAATAATTTTCATTCAGTCAAGCATTGAGCAAGTCGTATCGACTAGCGTTACTGGCTACTCATGTAGCCAATTTTAGGAATTCATTGAAAAATAATGAATGTAATTGCACGATATTGCAGCTTATTTGATGAATTTCTCAATGGATTGTTGACCATTTATCAATTATTTGGTCACCGAAAAAACGTCTCTATGTAATTTCGCTAAATGTGAATTTGGCCAACGGTATATTCGCCATTGGCGAACTTCTTCACGAAATTCGCCAATTGGTGAATTTCGTGGGGAAATCCGCCAATTGGCAAAGTACTAGTGGATATTCGCCAACTGGCAAAAAGTACGATTGGCGAAAAGAGGAATTGGCATTAAGATTCTACCCCGAAAAAACATCCACAGACAAAACATTCATCTTTAGCCCATTGAGACATCAAAGGAATTCTTCAAAACAATGATTATGATCATTAGCAGTTTCAGTTCTAGTAGAAATACAAGAAAGTTACTGTGAAGTGTGATTGACACAATGTTACTTTGCATTGTTGATTGATTTCAAACTCTTTATAATAAAGATAATATGTTAACAGAAAAATTGCCAATACTGGAAATTGATTTGATCAGAAGGAAAATCGTAAAGCTCACACTATTGATTATTAAAGACATTCGTTCACACTCAACGAAAAACAATCAAACGAGGATAGTTGATTAGTATGGAGAACGTATTGTGCTTGCTTTCATACTTTGAATCCTTCTTAAAATCTATTTTAATTCTCTGGATAAGACCATAGTATGCTTCTTTACAAAGAATGAGTAATATATTTGCTCAATTGAAAGCAACATCTAAGTCAAAAGAAATCTATTTATTTTCACTCTTCATCTCTCTTATATTTCTTTTTGTTAGCAATATAGAGATAGCGCAGTTAAAGCTACTACTCCAATCCAAAATGGTGCATACGTATGACGATTGTGTCTTAACTTTCCTAGGCATCAAATGCCTAATCGCTAGTATTGACCTTGACAAACCAATTCTTAGTTTTTTTTGCCGCAATTGCTCACATTTTCTTATAGTTCTCGTCGCTTTTTTTCTTCCGGCACATCCCTGTCGTTCACTAGCTATTTTACTCTTGCTTATCTCTCAAGAAGCAATGAATGAAGATTTTGTTATTGTTACTGACTGCAGATCTGAAGCTAGATTTTGGGCTTAACATGTATGTTTTATCCATCAGTTCATCGTATATCTCTTCATTGAATCAATAATTTTCTTTTCCATTCTGCCCAGTGACCTCGTCATGGACGGCGCGACCTTTTGCTATTTTTTGGCTATTGGAACACAATGGTCGACTATTGTTTTCTCTCGAATATGTGCATAACTGGAAGTAGACTGACCTCGACCATATTTCGTAAACTTTGACCGATTGCACTTTTTCTATATATATATACGTGTGCGGTCGGTCAGTGACAGTCATTCGAATTTGCACTGTTCCAACAGTTGGCGCAAGATACGTTACCGAAACGACTACAATGGACAACGAACCGACGCACTATTTAGGTAGTAGGTTTTTGCTTCACTCAAGCTGAACTACAGATGTTCGATTCATCCAAAGCAGAAATACGAGTCAACATTCACCAACAATTTGTCCAAGTGTGAATAGAAGCAGAAAGAACTTCGTTGAGTCTGTAAGATACCCAGAAAGTTTTCGAACTAGCATGCAGTGAAATATTCTTGTCATTAATTAACATGTATTCGTAACGCGAAAAGAAAGTTTCCTCACTCTGATAATCTTATTTTCTAGACACGGTCGAGACAAGCTTTTCGCCATCCTGGTTCTGCCGGCAGTGCGATATTTTTGATTTCAATATCGTCGTCCGAGAATATCAAGCACTGTTCAAAGATAACTGTGAAATTATTAAGTTTCGTCGATTTCTTTGTCGCTTGTACCACGGTGAAAACAAATCTCGTCGATTCTCTTTTGCTCCATGGCAGCTAGCACGGTTAGAGGCAATATTTGCTCAATGTCGCTATCCAGATTTATACCGACGCGAAGATCTCGCTTTCGAACTACGAATCGGCGAGTCCAAAATACGCGAATGGTTTGTAGAACGACGAATGAAGTGGAGACGACGACAACTTAAGATTGAACCTTCTTTATCTGCAACGATTGCTGGATGACGGTTGAATTCACGAAAAAACGATTTCATCTTTTTGTGTCAATATGTAGTTTTCTGTAATTTTGTTCACTTGTTTCATATCTAACGAATAACGAATAGACAATAAAACATTTTTCACTCTTCTGAAATCTTTTTACTTAATTATAATCAGGGTGTGGGTGTGGGTGTGGGTGTGGGAGTGGGAGTGGGTGTGGGAGTGGGAGTGGGTGTGGGTGTGGGAGTGGGAGTGGGTGTGGG